GTGGTATGATATAATCCACCAATGAATTACAAGGTGCTTAGGGTGGGATACAACACCCCTATTGAGGTCGTATCCCTGGTATGATGAAAGGGGAGTGACTTACTCATCCAGGGCTACCATAAGAGAGGTACTCCAAGTGGAGGGCTTTAGCAAACATTTCATTATCTTACAGTTCAGGAAGCCGGCAGTTCAGATTCGAGATGGCAGCTTTAAGGGAAGGTCCGTGCTCTCTGTCCTCCAGCGTCTGTGGGGCTGGTGCTCCTTGGAGTGCTCCACGTGTCTTGTCCTTCTCTGGGGTCTTGCAGATTCCTCATGCAGGATCCTGCACTCCGCTCTTGGAAATTATTCCTCGGTTGTACTGAGGCCCCATCTCTCAGATACTTTCCTTGCCTTTTATTTTTTTTTAAATGAATTTATTTTTTATTAATTTTATTGAAAGTTTACAGAGACTTAGGGTTTCCATTTATTCCAATCATTTCCAATCATTCATTTTTCTCCCTGCCCACCCCTCCCCCGCCTTTTATTTTTTTATGAGACAAAAGGTATTGCAGGCCACACCTTAGGGAAAATTCTCTCACATCAGTACGGCCTGTGATGTGATTAAGTGCCATCGAGCCTGTTATGACTCTTAATGGTGACCTTATCCCCCGTCACACCCCGGCTGGGAGCTCTAGGGGCCTCATGGCAAGAAGCTGCGCTGCAATCCTGAAGGCATGTGGTTTAAATCCACCAGCTGCTCCGCGGGACAAGGATGGGCAGTCTCTCCTCATGCAATTAACAGACTCAGAAAACCCACTGGAGGGTCAGGTACAGGTTGGTTCCGACTCTATGGAACACAACAACATGCTTATTTACCCCATCTTTTTAAGTTCCCATCAAATCGTTCCTATCCACCCACTAACCTCTATCTAATCTTTTCTGCCTCCTTGTCCTTTCCCCCTCCTCCTCATGAACATTTGTGCACATCTTATTAGTTATATTTTCAATCTGTGTGCAGAACAGATCATCCAAGACACTGGGCTGTACAAGGAGGAATGTGGCATCAGGATTGGTTATGCAGATGACACAACCCTGCTTGCTGAAAC